TATATATATATATATATATATATATATATATATATATATATATATATATATCATTGGATGTATGTATGCAATATTACATTCTAAATATGTGTATGTACTAGTAAAGGGAGTATAAAGACAAACCCTAGCAATTTATGGTAATACTGAGAAGCTAAACCTAAAAACAACAACAACAACAACTAATAACTATTCAACTATCAATGATTTGTACTATTGTATTAATACAATTCCATGATTATACCAAGTTAATTATTGTTGACAGTAAACCTTTTTATTTTATTTCTTTTCTGTATTATTATTCATGTAATAGACATAGACACTATATGTACTCGCTCTAAATTTAATATTTAAGTAAATAATAAACAATATATTTTTTATTGGTTTTAAGTATCAAAGATAGCAATAAAAATATATTAAGAAATTTGTAGGTGATTTTGAAATCACAAAATAGATCGGAAATATGATAAATGTTAATAAATAATCCTCAAGGGAAAAGAATGATGTATTGGTAGACAAGGGGATATTGAGTATAACAAGTGTAGAAGGAAAAACCGGCTGAAGTTTATATATTATATTATATAATATATAGACTTGTGTGTATCTACACGCTTCTTCAACATTTTCGATACTTTTCTAAAAATATCATTTGCTATTTATAAACGACAGCCTTTTCGTTTCCCGCAGCAGCTTCTCTATTCAACAAACGGGAAAAGAAGAACAAGATTAACGTTAAATGGCCGATGCTAAAGCTCGCTATTGTATCGTATTAAATAAAAATGTTATAATTATTTAATTAGTTTGATTTAATTACTGCTGGTACTGTCTAGTAAGCTATGACGTTAAAAAATATTAATGATGATTAATATCATCTGTTGGATGAAGAAAAAAAAAAAAACTTGCTTACGCTAGATAACAAACTATAAAATTGCATCTATTGTGGGAGATATGGATAAAACTAGTAGCTATAAATAGTTCTCGGTTTGTATAATTAAAGCATTGAACAATATGAGCGGGCGAAAGCAAGTCATCAGGCAAGGCTTATATGTATGTATATACTTTATATCAACTAGTAACTAGTGAGTAGTGAGTAGTTACAGAAGATAAGTAGATGAGCAGATAGATGGATGGATAGATAGATAGATAGATAGATAGATAGATAGATAGGTAGGCAGAAGAGTTTGTAACAAACTGACGTTATAAACTAACCATAAAAGTCATAGGCAATCGAGACAAGGCCATATGCATAAAAGAGCAAGAAAACAAGATTATACCAATCTAAAAGTATCTACTTTATTTTTGCAGCGTCCAATCATCATAAAAATAAAAATAAATAAATTTACGTATAAATCAAATAAAATATATATCTACATGATATAATACAAGGAACATTATTTTAATTTATCATATCTAATAAATTACATTATCTGGTAATAAAAGTCAAAACAATGTAACTAAAAATGTTGATAACAAATTTTTTAAAGCTTGTCGTCAAATAAAACTAAATCGTACTGGTATAAATATATATATATATAATGTTTAAATGTGAGTATGTGTGTGTGTGTGTGTGTGGTATATACTATTATGCAAAGCGATTACCTCGTTGCGAGATATTGTCTCAGTTATTGGCGACAAACGACTCTAGCAAACTAATGCCTCTACTCAGTTGTACCCCGCTGATTCCCTCCAACAACCACCTCGCTATTCTTCTGATAAATATATATATATATATATATATATATATATATATATATATATATAT